GTTAGCGGCCGGTGGTGACGGCTTACTGAGAGAGAAGAGATGCTTTTGTTCATAGATGGGAGAAAACAAGTGGGAATCACTAGACGCACCATAATATGATGTTATCACGACACTTCACTGACAATATGATATTGTTGCAGGTTTTAATATTTTGCAATATGCTGAGTATTGTGATAACATGTATTGCAATTTAGCAAATTATGCTTTCAAACTTCTTTTTTTTTTCCACCCCTAATAACCAGGTGGATCTAAACCAGTGTTACAGGTAAAGATTGTACTATAAAACAATAAAAATGCTAACAGAGCCACTGTGCCACATATCCACTGTCGGCACCCCAGGCCATAGCTTCATCAGCTTCCTCTCTGGTCCTTGCTGAATCAACATTTTCCAAGCAGCAGTGAACTCAGCATTGCAGCAGCAGAGCCAGCAGTCAAAGTTCTTCTTTAGTATCGTGGAGTAGTGAATCATACCATAGGATTTACAGTGGTTTTCACAGTCAGTGAGCTGAAGTCATCTTTTAAGGGGAAAAGATTTGGTCTCTGATGAGAAGTTGTGGGTGGGTGGACGTCGCTGCCATTTACTGTAAGGAGAAATGTCTTCTTACATGGGTGCTTCTTACTGCTGGGATCCCAAATTAGCTGTAAGTAGAATTTATCTGGGACCTTAAGAAGAAACAGGTCTGTAATACAATGTAACACTAACCCACGTTGCATGTCTAAAGAATTAACTTTGAAATGGTAATTCATTATTAGAATATTAGTATTCCTTTACAGGTAAAAGCCTTCTTTGTCAGGACTCAGTGTTTTATTGTGGAGAATAGAAATCACACTGACCATTTGACAGACAATAGGTCTGTTGGTGGAAAAATATACTGATATTAGGGAACTAAGCCAGCAAAGAAGATCTTGTTAGCCTGTGTTCTTTTAATTTTTTTAAATTAATTAATAAATTTTTGCTGCATGTGATCATTCATTTATTTGTCTTGCATTGATTGTTTTTAACCGGCAAGAACTGGCAGTTAATTAATCGTGAGGAATAGAAATAAGGGGTCATGTTTTGTCTGAGCTGTTTGCCGGTGATTCTGAAAAGACAAAAAGAGAGGTAATGTGAAGGCGCTGCACTGTCGTAGAAAAAGCAACTGTGTTATTGAAAGAGGAAGTCAAGAGTGGCAGAGAAAGTATATGAAACTGGTGCAGAACGTGTGAATAGCGAGACAGTGGTGAGGTGTGCAGTAGATGTGACGGATGAGTTGAAGGTGGGGGTGCGATTACATCAGGAATGAGCTCTGGGCACCTTCTTGTTTGCGATGGTGATGGGCTGAAGTAAAAGAGAGCCTGGAGAGGTGGAGTTATGCTATGGTGAGAAGAGGAATGAAAGTTAATAGAAGCAAGATAGAATACATGTGTGTGAATGAGAGTGAGGTGGATGGGAAGGTGAAGATGGAAGCAGCAGAGGTGGTGAAGGTAGGTCAGTTTAAATACCTGGGGTCATCCAAACCAAGATAGTGTGAACATTTAAATATGTTGAAGAATGAGCTGCTGGACAGAAGGGAAAGAGGAAGACCACAGAGAGAAGCTGTTGTTGTAGTGAAGGAGGACAAGCTGAGGAGGATGCTAGCAATAGGCTGAGACAGAGGTAGAAGTAGAGGTATCCCTTTCATTGAACCGCAGGTAGATACATTTCAGGTGAAGGCTGCCGGATAATTGAGAAATCTTAGTCTGACAGTAAAAGTGGTTTTATGAGTCACATGGACTTTTTTTAATGATAAGATGCAGACACACTGAAGCCATACATTTAGTTTTGATAGCTGATGACCTGTCATTCTTTTTAGAATCTGTAACTAATTCAGAAACTATTCTGCAGATTAGCTTATCTATGACTTGGATAGGTACTATCATTGGACATCTGTTCATGCAAATAATAAATATAATACAAATTCAAAAGAAATGTAATACTTTCCACTATATTACTCACACACTCATACAGTGCACCAGAGCTATACTGTCAGTTACTACCCTGATTATGTTTCCACCATACAAGCCCCACAATCGGGAGTAGACATTGGGGATTTCATCCAGCTCCTGTTGAAAAGCTTAGTGTTGCCCCCAGAGCCTGAAGCCTACCCACCAACAGTCATAAAGAGAGGAGGGACCCAGGATTTGCAGTCCTTTTAGTCTTTCAGGATGCTTAACAGTCTCTTAAAGGTAGGTTTAAACAGGCTGCGACGCCTGGGCTGGGAACACTTTATCATTACACCCACAGCTTGTCTGCTGTGCTCTCCATCACGGGGACAGAGAAGGCGTTTACATGTTTTAACAGGCTCAGCCCTGTCCCCCCTTGACGCGCGCGCGCGCGCACACGCACACACACACACACACACACACACACACACACACACACACACACACACACACACACACACACACACACACACACACACAAGATGAGTGTATTCTGATGATGCTGGTGAATGAGCAATGCACTTTGTATTATCCACATGTCCAGAAAAAATGCAATCTTTTCCTGCAAAACAAAAGCTCTACTTTTAAGGTTGACGGGTGCTTATCATCAGCTACAAACCGATTTTTTTAAAATTCAGGTTGGTGCGGAAAAATATTTTCACAGCGTCCTTCATCGTTGCCCTTCACTCTTATCAGTCTGTGGAGCAGCCTATAACTGAGTGTGTTAACTTCATCAGGGGGCAGCTGGTGGGCAGCAGTGACCTGGCGTAACACCGCAGCTCAGCACCGCTTCATTTATCATGGCCTCAATTCACCGCAGATCCCTTCTGTTTTCTCGTCTCTCCTGCGGCTCAACTTTTCTTTCACTGCTTCTTACTTTGGACAGTTTATGCAGTTAAACATTTCAGATAAACAGGAAAGGTATCTGCTGTTACTCAGCAGTGCTGTGTTGTTTATACTGCACTGTAGAGGTTTTTTCATTTCGTTCTGTATGCCTACACGTTTGACATGATTCAAGAAAGTTAGAAACTGAATGGACAAATGTATCATTAGACACTTTAAAGAGAGAAATACACTGATGGAGGGCTCGCTGTATGACCCCATTTCAAAATGTGCGCTTCAGCGCTCTGTGAAAGTCTGCATGGAAAAATTGTTTAGGAATTTTAGAAAAATGTGTATCAAAGTAAAACATGCTTAAAAAATCACATTCATAACTAAATGGTACCTGCAGTCTGAGTTTCTTGTGGAAAGTATGGATGCCTGCTTGTTATCAACCCACAGTTTGAAAATCCAATACCCAGAGTGGGTATTAATCAGTGGATACTGCGTTGCTTAGTTTAACTTCTATGAAAACACCATTGAAGCACAGTTTTAGAGAAGCCTGTGCTGTCATACATCTTTCTTTCAGGGCAGACTTTCCTTACTTTAGGAAAACAAACATACCCGCATGTATTGCAGGAGTTGGCATCTGGATGCTGAATTAACCTCCATCCATTCCAGACCAATTCCCAGGCTCTGAACTGCTAAGCAGTCAAAATCCTGACTTTCAAAACTACAGCAGCTGGTAACCTCAGTTCTCAAATACGTGCAGAATGTTGTTAAGATCATAGGCAATGCAACACTGAAATCCCACCCGTCATGACTATTTTTAAGAAATGTTGTTGGCCATTAAGGTTGAAAGCTCTTGAGATTTTTTACTCCACTAAAAAAGTAAATTCATATAAAGAGGTTTCATTTAAGATTGAGCTGTAAGAGGGATGGAATAATAAAACACGAAACATGAATCCATAGCAGGGGTAAAAGAGGAGAGGTCAGCATGTACTGCTAGAGTATGAGTTGATATTACTGCCCTATAAATACACTAAAAACTTGGACACAGTAGGTGTCTGAGGACCTGATTTATAATAAATGCAGAATCGCTGACCTACAGTGTGTGTAACTGTGTATTATGTGTACATCCAAATCGTATCACTTACATTTGCAGAAATAATTATGCGCAAACCATGTGTTTCTTTGGAGGCGTACGCATATCACGGCTGATAATTGATTTTATATTCAGTTCTACTCTTCCAGCAATAATGGAAATGACATAATCGAGATAAAAGGTTTATTCTGCAATTTTTTTTTTTCTAATGCAAGTAAGGTAAACCACGACATTTTGGATTTAGATTTTGAGCGAGAAACAAGAAAAGAAAAGAAAATTGACAAATTCTAACTTTAAAAAGTGGTGACGTCATGGTGACGTCAATATTGACCAAAATAATAATTTTTTAACTTCAATTACGCAGTCTTGCTGCTTTTGTTCCACTGCTGTGTTGTGTTGCGTGCCTCTCAAATTTGCAGAAGTCTGCTTCCGGAGGACCAGATCACAGAAAAGAGGAAGAGGTGGAGGAATGAGAGCAAAAAATGAATGTTGTGCAGTGGGCCATAAATAACTGGCCTAAGGACATCAGCAGGACTGGAGTGGAGTCGGAGATGGAGAAGAGAGCGAGAGGAGGCAAAACAAAAGAGGGGCGAGTTTTAAGGATATGAAAGTGGAAGGAATAAAGAGTGACATGGACTGAGGGGAGGAGGAGATCATGCATGCGTAAACAAATACTCTGTGCTGTCCCAGAGTGCTTTAAAGATTTTTTTTTTTTCCTCAATGGCATCAGTTGGAGCGATGGGGAAGTGTCGTGTGTGCGTACGCAGATGCACATGCGTTGTTCTTTTATTCTATTTTCCTCTTCACCCAGATGTCCACACAGCAAGGTCCAGATGGCTTGGATGTCCTCTATACTGGAGAGCTTTACACACACAAACACAGACAAAGCAGCATGGCCATGTTTTTCTCCCTCTCAGAGGGAAGATTAACTCTCCTCATTAGGGCTCCCTCCGCCTCTCCACCTCTCGCCTGACACTCTCCTCCCCCTCCCTTTCCTGTTGGCTTGACTTATTCTCATTGGCTGCTTTTATCAGGACCACAGCTGAGTGGATCACCGTGGCTACAGAACACTGGAGCGGGGAGGAGGTGGGATGGGTTGATGTTGCCACGGTAATAGAAGAGGCGACCACTCGCCAAATCATCGAGTGGGGAAAAAAAAGTGGAAGCGTGTGGAAAGCGGGTTAGAGGGTTAGGGCTCGAAAGGAGAGGAGGGGGGGAAAAACAATAACAACAGGCGAGGGATTAGGCATCGACCGAGCAATCAGGAAGTCCATTTAGGACAAAGCAGAGTCCAAAATGCTCCCAGACTTCAGTCGGCATCGTTAGAGCCGAGCCGCTGGAATGAATAAAAAACCACACAAAGAAGGAAGGAGCTAATTCGGGTGAAATATGAAAGACGTCACCCGGACGACCGCTGCCACTGCTTGCTGTGATTTTTCACTGCCGATGAGTAAGAGGAGGTAAGCTGGTCATGGTAGTGCCTGGGGCATGGAAATGGAAACGGAGAGAGCCGTCGCTGGATATGAGGAGCATGCGTCAGCATTAAGGAAGGGTGAACAAGAGTCAGAGAGAGAGAGAGAGAGAGAGGCAGGCAGTGACAGCAGAGATGAGCACAACTGAGCACAAGAGAGAGATTGAGGTTAGAAGCTGATGTGAGGATACAAGCGGAGCCTGTTAGACTTTTCACCTTCTGTGCCACACCTTGGCTTCATCCTCCTAACACTCCCACCTCTTGACTGCAGCAACTCCAAGGACCCAGGCTGGAATTTCATTGTCTGAGGGACAATAATCCTTGCTGAATGACTTCTGAATGATCATTTTCACACCCCAGAAGCTTCTTAATGCTGCTGACATATGAAAAGGACAGACCGTTCAAGAGGATTGCATTCTGTATATCTTCTCAAAAGCGGAGCTACTCCTGCCTGCACGAACTGAATTGAGTTATTCATTCTGTATTAAGAAGTATTGTTTGCAGATTATCAGCACAATTACACTTCTGAAAACTGTTTCCATGAGGATCAGCAGCTTTGTTTTCAGAGACTAGTCAGTTCCTGTCACAAAGGTGTGAAAATGAAGAACTCATTGTCCAGCCATTTTAAACGAATGCTGACTCAACCTAAACGATGAAGACAATGAAGGTGGTATTACTGGATGCAGGAGTGACAGCAGAGTTAGCAGAGTAATAAGACGTATTGTGCCAGGCGTTGCGGAATAATGCAACGCCGCTCCGTGAACGACGCCCAGAATATCGCACTTGTCTTCCTGCATGGATGTCGACGCGAGCTGACTGACCGACTGAGTGTGTGGGTTGCTCACTGGGCTGGAGCAGCAGCTATTTGAGGACACGTAGCACCCGAACAGGTACCGGCTGGGTCTCAGAACTCCACCATGGGGGAGACGGCAGAATACCAGAGACTGCAGGAGACAACAGAGTCGGATTACCAAAGGCTGCCTAGCGATGATGAAGAGGTAGACCTGTGCAGTTCCCTTTATTTTACAGTAGTAGGTAATAGTAGGTAATGGACTAATTTCAGCCAGCAGTATGAACCTGTCAAAGGGAAATGAAATGATGATTTATGCTTTCGTAGGTGTCTCTGTATTTCAAATCATTGCCATTGTGAGCATTTATCTTGTCTTGTTCAGTGTCACACTGGCCGTGTCATGTCCAAAACACTTTGGTGAATGTACACAGCTGTTTTCCTGTGACATGGCTTTCATTCCTCAGTCAGTGTCGGGCCGGGTTTCCCGACATTTCAGCATCCTTTTTCCCTTCGTGTCAGTTTGCGTACTGATGGTTTAGCACCTAATCAGGTGATCAAGGTGGTCCATCATTTTTAGTGTTAAATAATGTGGAAAATTTATAAGCTTTTTTTTCCTTCCCCCAAACAGACTCTTTGACACGTCAGAGCATAAGGGGTAAACAAAGACAGGTGTAACTACTGGATGCCACTAAGTTTACTTTAGTTTCAGTGGCATTGCGTGTTCATTGTCACACTATCCCGGCTTGCTGAAACACAATATTACAACGGCCATTGTTCTTAGTAACACCTGTGGCAAGACATACGTCTGCTGAGGGGAAAAAAGTCTGGTTGGATTGTGCGAACATAACTCCACTTCATAGATCTCCCAAAGTGCTCATTCATCTGTCAGACAGTACTAGCTCTTTTACCCATGTATGTCAGTAGCGCCCTGCTCAGCCACCACGTACCCACGCACAACACACGGCGCTTCTCGCCCACACACGAGGCCGAGTTATTGCATGCAGAGCCATGAGGTCACTGATGAAGTGCTGCAGAATGAGGTTGGTGAGAGGCAAACTATGACATTTTATACCCTCCCACCTATTCTGCAAAGCCACACACAAACACACACACACACACACACACACACACACACACACACACACACACACAAACACACACACACACACACACACACACACACACACTATTTCACAAATACTGTGAAGGCCCGACTCTTTTTTTTTTGTTTGTTTGGCTTTTAGGCTGGCCGTTTAATTTCCACATCAAACCATTGTGAAACATCTCTGTTGCCTTTTTTAATGTTTTCAACATCAGAAGAAAATGTGTAGAATCACTGAACTCAGAGCTAGATAAATAAGTTCACCAGGTCGGTAATTCACCGTTTTACCCTTTTTTGTAGAGATGTTGTAAACTGAATAGTTTCAACAGTCTGCAAGGGCATTACATGTCAGGGGTGTGTGTTGCTGTCATGTTTAGGCTGGAATAGATTATTTAAAATTAGGAGTTGGCTTAAAGAAACAAGAAAAAACTGTCTGGTATACAGTGTTGATAGTTTGGTCTTTACTGTATTTTCAATGTGATTAAAATGTGGCTAAAGCAGTTATTACTGGTAACTAAAACTAATTTTGAAAGAACAGATGAAAGTACAATAAAGGTAAAAATTGGACTTGAAACGTATTGTGAATAATAATAAATAAACAAAATACAGTTTTATTTATATAGCACATTTAAAAACCTGAAGGCACGCCAAAGTGCTTCACAGTAATACGGAAAAACAACATAAGTACAGATCAGGCACTAGCACAGACAGAATGGAGGCACTAATAGACCTTAAGAGTTAAGTAAAATGGGTATCAAACCTCAATACAGGAGGAAGGTCAGATCGTGAATACAAAAATATCTACTAAGAAGATAAAAACAGCAGTAAAATTAATAATAAAATAATACATTAGATAAAAAGTTTAAAAAGGGTATTAACTGGTCAGGAAAGCCAGGTTAAATAAGTATGCTTTCAATTTTGATTTAAAGGATTGGACAGAGTCCGAGGCACGAATAGAAGCAGGGAGATTGGGTGCAGCTGAGGCAAAGGCACGATCGCCTCTGCTCTTCAGTCTAAACTTAGGTCTAAAACACACGGGAAATGTTAAGTCTTTGTTCATTTGGTCAAATATTTGAAATTGTGATATGTAAGCTGCCTGCACAATGTTTCTTTTTGTATTTCTTTTTATACAATTTTTACTGTAATGTGTATCCTAAACTTCTTAAAGTTATCCTGTAACAAAGTAAACAAAATAAATATCAAAAACGAATGAAAGCTTAACTGAAATGTGTAATTTCTACCATTAAATGTAAAAATGAAACAAGAAAATAAGAAATTAATTCAAAATTTAAAAACAAAAAATCTAAATTTAAACAAAAAACTAAACACAAACTGAAAATATGTAAAAAAAAAAAAAAATTGCCTGATTTCAGTATGGTGAGAATTACAATTTGAACTTTTTCAAAATGGATGTTATTATTTATTTATTTATTTTTTACTAATTTACTTATTATGTTTGTTTAAACATTTTATGGTGACTTGTGTTTAAATGGAATTGGGTTCAAATTTGACTCACTACCGCTGCTACTTCAAGCAATGCCGTGCGCTGGTCTTCCCTGACATGTACTGGGTTTCAGCCCTTCGGGACCTGCTGTTGATAAGCAAATATAGGGAGAAGATAAATGAATGTGTAGATGTGTGCGGCAGTTTAAATGTGATACTGTCCTGTGTGTGTTGAGGATCTGTGTGCTAGTTGAGCAGAGTTGAACCGATGGACGCTGCAGCTGTTGTGCTCTGTTTGGGGCTGAATCAGATCAGTCTCCTTCCACAGCTGCAGCTTTGTGCTGAGTACAGCGGTTTTTCTAGGGTTAGCTTTCAGCGCCACAGCCTGCAGCTGCCTCATCTTATTCTGAAACTGAGTGAAAAACACTTAAGGGTAGATGTACGGAAAATGTAGGTGTATGGAAAATACTTATTGTGTTATTAGAGTGACCATTTTATTCTCCACACAGATATCTTATGGATGTTTTTCCCCCTGTGGAGGATGAAGGGATTAGCGGGCAAGCCTTATCTGAAAATGATGAATTTGTGTCGGCCGTGAGTATGGCTGGGCATCCACTGTGTTTGGAATAATATGAATGTAATAAGTAATTTCTTTTGATTGAGCTACCTGCTGTGATAGATTTTGAGTTCAATCATTTTATTCATGATATTTGATATTTATTTTAATGGCTCCTCCTTCTCCCTCTTAACCTGCTTTAAGGGATCAAAGAAAGGATTGCTCAGTACGGGTGTATTTCATTGTTTTGTGGGGGTTGTTTTTTACAGTCTGGCATTATGCATATTAGGTCAAGCTACCAAAACAACATTTGTTGACAAAACACAGCACATATGTTCCTGAAAACTGGAAGTGATGACCTGGAAGCAGGCCACTGGCATCCAGAGCTCTCATCTTTCTCATAATCTGTTCATGGGCACATTAACGCTCACAGCCTCACACCGCCTCTCCCCTCCTGGCTTTGTGAGTAATGAGTTCCTGTGGACGGTAAAGGGATTTAAGGAAAACGTAAAAGCCAGACCTTGGGAGATAGTTGCTATCTGTGACATTAGGAATGATGGATCTCTGTATGTCTGTGCATGCTGTCCTCTGTCAGAGGTTTTTGTGTGTTTGTGTAGATATTGTTCTAGCACAGTTTCTAAAGTGATTAATGTAGTTCTACTACTCCTTCTTCTTCACTCTGCATTTTTGGCACCCGGCACCCAAAACGCAGTTTGATGTTTTGTTACCAAAATGTTGGAACTTAGTTTAGAAATACACCGGTGCCCAGTAAGCTAACTTAATTCCCAACATAGTGCCTCAGGATGAATCTAGTCTGTGTGCATGCCTTTGCATGCCTTCCTGTATACAGTGAGCATCATATTACAGAATCTAGAAGTGTGTGTGTGTGTGTGTATACCTGTTTACACATCTGTGTGGGGACCAACAGCCACTAGTCAGCACTAAAGTGCCTGTCCTCACAAGTTTGATGGCATTTTTAAGACTCAAAATGTAGTTTTAGTGTCAGAGTTACAATTAGGTTATGGTTGGATGGAGGCTAGTGTTAGGCAAACATTTTTGATGGTTAGGGTAAGCAGCTAGAGAAACATTATGTCAACTAGATGTCCTCACTAAGATATCAACACGAGAATGTGTGTGTGCGTGTATGTGCATGTGTGTTTCAGTACTGTAACATAATAGAGCTCACAGCATGTTGTTCTTCATAATCTTATTAGCTAGAAAGGTCCTAATCTGATGTCTGGTCATGATAATGTAATCTTCACGGTCAAACATTTAACTTGGGCTTTATAGTATTAGTGTCCTTTTGTAAAGCCGTCGGTCAGACTACTTTGTGCATGCGTGCGAGGTCAGACAGCAGTCTTAATGTAAAGCTAGTTGCAGTAAATCTGTAAAAAAAAAATCCAAACAGTTTTATCTAATTGAATAAATTTCATTGATCTTGATAAACTGGTCACATTTAGCTTCCTCCAGGGTCGTCACCACAGGTGATCAGGTTATTGTGATGTGATATATGTAGAACTTGTGTGGAAAAAGACGGCATGTAAAAGTTTATTTAGCTTACTTTAGCTTTCTACTTTAGCTTTATTACCATGAACATTGCACAGAGGTGTATTTTGACCCAAACTAGGGCGTAAACCAAACCTCAGTCAAACCAAACAGACAGTGAAAACTGGAAAGAAAAAAAAAAATCAAGAAAATCGACCAATTAGCAACTGAAATTAGGTGTTTACTAAACTATCAGCAACTGCTTTTATATCAACGGATGAATGAAAATTAAAAAAGATAAAGAAGAGATGGGAGAAAAACCATGTGTTGATGTTGCATAGCTTGTTCACCAGAGGGCACTATGCAACTTCGCTAGGGCACCACGCATGTATGGACGCCCAACCAACCAGCTGATCTGAGTAGTGTGAATGAGTAAGCAACTACACAAAATAGGTGTTATGGAAATCTGTTTGATTTTATAAAGGAAAAAAATACTGGCCAATATATCAAAATATCACATGTTTAAGTCACTAAATATTGATATTGTTTGACACAAATGCCATCACTACAGTCATATTGTGACTTACTGTAACTACATGGTAATGCCAGATAGAGCCCTGGT